ACTTTTCACTTTTCACAAAAATTAAGAAATTCAATATATATATCTTGATTTTAGAAAAATCATATAAAAATGACTAAAACAACCTCTAATATTTAATGATTTATAAGAGAAAATTAATGAATAGAGTTTCATTAATAAGGTTAAAACAGGAAAAATGCATTTAATGCAGTATTGGAAATCTAAAGTGACAAATAATATGGAACAAAAATATTTTTTAAAAGAGACAGTTATTGTGGAACAGAGGGAGCATACGACATGAATAATTTCAATTTATTTGCTCTGTACAATTTATTTAGTTAATTTACCTTGTAAGAATAGGAGGAAACTATTTTTTAAATAAAGAATTATGGAATTTTGGGTAATTGAGAAAAGAGTCACAAGGCCCATTATGGGAGTGGGTCCCACCCAATGACTTTTCCTGTTTTCCCCACCAATATTTGAAGTCTAGTTGGGTGGACTCATCCTTTTCTCTCTCTCTCTCTCTCTCTCTTCACTTTCTCTCTCTAGAATCCATCGGCACGCACAAAACTGCAGATTTTTATTTTGGTTCCGATAATAACAAATCAAACGGCACAAATGTTTTTTACTGCGAAGAAGAAACAAATACAAAATAAGAAATCTCCGCGAAACTTCCCTCCCAACCCCCAACCCCTTTTCACACACATACACACACTGATGTACGGCTTCGAGGGGGCCCGGCCGCCTTTATAGCGACTTGTGATTCTCTTATGTGTGATATTTCCCTTTTTCTGAGTTCCTTTCTCGAAAACTGGTGAGTTCTGATTATAGTTTGGGTGTGATTTTTGGGGGGGTTGAAATTGGGGGAAGACGAGTCGAATTTTGTTATGTATGAGAGATACTAAGATATGGTAGCGAGTTGATGATGTTTCTGATTGTTTTTTGAAATTGGATTGTACTTTGTAGAATTAAATGAACTAATTAATGGAAGAGTTTGAAATGGAAATCCGACTGCTTTTAAGTAAGAGCGATGGTGTAAACATGTGTTGGATGTACTGTAAATAGGCTTCCCTTTTATTTTTTGCTGATTTAATTAGGTTATTGAAAGTAACTTATGGAATTTTCAATTTTTTGGGCTATCTGGGTTGAACAATTTGAAATTTTTTTTTGTGTGTGCGTGTGTGTGTGATCTGGAAGATTGGTTTAGTTACATTTGAAGAACTCAATTCTTAACCCATGTCAACTTTGTAATAGTTTATTCGTGAAATTTATTAGAATAAATTGTTTCTATCACGGGCTAAACCATTCAGTTTTGGTTTTCAATTTTTTTGACTTGCCGATCATCTAATGGGATTGTTCTTAATACTTCCAGGGTTTGATCTTGCCATTTGACCGGAGATTCTCATTTCCATGCCGATAATCACAAGTTTGTAATCTGTTTCTTTACATCTTTTGTGCGAGCTGGAGTTATGAGTTATCAACAAGAAAAGTTTGTCAGGTTAGTTTTGTTATTAACCTTCTCATCTATATTCTGATGCGATCATTTGGAGCTACACAATGGCGCATTTGTGGAAGTATTTACTAAGTTAACGTGAGGGATTTATTCACTGTCCTTGATACAAAAGATTTATACAGAATTACAGTATAAGACTCTTGATAAAGACTTTGATTAAGCAGTGGGGTTGGGGTTGGGAAAATGAATTAATAATTTGAAGGAGTGTGTATGGAAGCAGATAAAGTACCCTCCATCTTCCCGAAATTGATTTTTTTTTGAGAATAATAAGTATGACATCACCGTTTGTTGCTTTACGCAATGCAATTCTTCATAAGGAGGATTATGCTAATAATATATTTCAAACAATTGTACTTTTCAGATTCCAAGATTGGACATCAGAGAAAAGATTCAACGGACAACCCCCCTCTGAAGGCGGCGCGCAAGTAAGCGGACTTAGATCGGCAATTTACTCAGTTTCAGACAAATTTCAAAGAGGATTAGAATCTGGCTCCGAAAGGATCAAGAGATACACAACATCATTAAAATCCTTCTCTGTGGGAAAGTTTGTGACGGATGAAGAGGGATCTACGAAGAAAATTCTTGATCCTCAAGGATTTTTTCTACAGAAATGGAACAAGATTTTTGTGCTGTCATGTGTGATAGCTGTATCCTTGGACCCTTTGTTTTTCTACATACCCATCATTAATCGCGATAAAAAGTGCCTTGATTTGGACAGCAGATTGGAAATGACAGCTTGTATTCTTCGATCCTTTACGGATATATTCTACCTCATCCATATCATTTTTCAGTTTCGTACTGGTTTCATTGCCCCTTCTTCGCGTGTTTTCGGAAGGGGTGTTCTGGTTCAAGATTCTTGGGAAATTGCAAAAAGATACCTTTCTTCTTACTTCATAATCGACATCCTTGCAGTTCTTCCCCTTCCACAGGTGAGAGAATTTTCCAGGTGCACAAATTATAAGCTGATTGCATTTAACTGTCCATTACAAGCAGGATCGACCAGACGTGCTTTCTTGTTCATAAGAACCTAGTTTTCAATTGACATATGAATCAAGAAAAGTTCCATTTTTTTAATATTTTCGAGAAAGATGCTAACACAGACCTTGTATTCTGTTTCTGTACAGACTGTAGTATTGATAATCGCACCCAGGTTGAAAGGTGCAAGATCTTTGAACACAAAGAATTTATTAAAATTCGTGGTGCTCTTTCAATATATACCGAGGGTTCTCCGAGTGAATCCTCTGTACAAAGAAGTGACACGAACATCTGGCATACTCACTGAAACAGCATGGGCTGGAGCTGCATTCAATCTTTTCCTTTACATGCTTGCCAGTCAAGTAAGTATCTTTATGAAAGTTAAATGTATATTGCCTATGTTCCTTTTATCAGTTTGCTGTACTGATTATTCTATTCGATCATTCGGGTTTTTTTGCTCCTCTGTTTTAGGTGATGGGAGCTTGTTGGTATTTGCTTTCGATAGAACGTGAAACTTCTTGCTGGATTAGAGCTTGTGGGAATAAATCTGCTTGTAGAAAAGCTTCGTTTCGCTGCGAAGATGACCATACGGAATTTCTAGATATTTTGAACCAATCATGCCCTGTACAGACTCCTAATGCTACCGTATTTGATTTCGGAATTTTCCTTGATGCCCTTCAATCTGGTGTTGTTGAATCGAAAGATTTTCCTCAGAAGTTCTTCTATTGTTTCTGGTGGGGATTGCAGAATTTAAGGTATTTTGTAGATTTAAAAAAAAACATAAGGAAATTTTTTTTCTAAATGCATGAAGTTTAACCGTTGTCTATTCTTGCAGTTCGCTGGGCCAGAACCTTAAAACAAGTACCTTTGTCTGGGAAATTTGCTTTGCAGTTTTCATATCCATATCCGGCTTGGTCCTATTTTCATTTCTGATTGGAAATATGCAGGTGATCTTAACCGTTTCTCCGTACAAACCCCCAAAAGAAAGAAAAAAGTAATTTTCATTGTTTTCTTTATGCTCGATTCTAACAAAAAACTCTGAAAAATGGATGCAAACAGACATATTTGCAGTCAACAACTCTAAGGTTGGAGGAGATGAGAGTAAAAAGACGAGATGCAGAGCAATGGATGTCTCACCGTTTGCTCCCAGAGAGTTTGAGGCAGCGTATCAGAAGGTACGACCAATACAAATGGCAAGAAACCAGAGGCGTTGATGAAGAGAATCTAATCCACAATCTTCCTAAAGATCTCAGACGAGACATTAAACGACACCTCTGTTTGGCTTTACTCAAAAGAGTGAGTTTACTTTCTTCTCAAAAGTCTCAAAAAATTAAGTTTTTGCACTAAAAAGAGTGAGAATTTAACATTTTTATTTTTTTCCTGAATCAAAACACCATAAATGGAGCTTAAATTAAAAAAAAAAAAAGAACGAAATCTGGCCAAGCGGAATAAGTTTATATCCGACTCACACAAGTCACCGAAAGACCCTCTTACAAACAACATAAATTTTCGTTCTTCCACTACAATTGACGGTGATCTGATTCGGGAAAAAAATAAAAAAAACAAACATAAAAGTCTCACAACT